TCTACAATAATTATTCCTTTTACTTATAAGGACCTACCTTGTAAGAATGTTGGAAGGATTCAGAGAGATGATGATGGCAAACATTTACCACAGGCTCTGCGGCGTAGAACACACTTTCTAGTACTCCATAACTGTTAGCTGTTTCCCTCCCTGCAATTTTGTTATCTAAATTTCCCAGATTTAGGAAAGGAATAGTAATACATAATACAAATTTGCTTAGACATGGTAATAAGTTAATTACATCAATTAATAGCAATTATGGATGATTGTCTGAAAAGACCAATACGATTTGTAAACTCACTCAAATAAGATTTTTTTTTTAAATTGGATTTCCCAGATGTACATTTCTATCAGTAGCTCTGACTTTCTTTTATTTATAACAACTTAATTACCTCCAAGTTTTTCATTAGTCAGCCATCTCAGCTTTCTTCCGCTGAAGTGCTTTTCTTCAGGAGTTGTTGGGTGGTACACATGGTTAACTCTAAGAAGTCTTAACTAAAAGGTTAACAGTTCCAAGTTCATGTTGTTATTGTGTGTCCTTATGTGGGAATTGACTCATAGCTGATCTTCCAGCAGGCTTTCAGAGGCAGTGAGTTGCCCGGAAGGAGATTGCCTATTCTTGCTGGTGGATTCAAACTGCTTGCCCTTGTGATTGAAGCATAGATTCTTAACCACTAAGCCACCAAAACACCAAGTTCATCTTAGAAGAACAAATAGCCTGGTAATTTACTTCTGAAAATCAGTCTGTGAAAGCCCCAAGCAGTTCTTGTATGACAGACATGACTGACAGTTAACAACTGATAATATTTTATTGTGTGTGTGGTACAGGCTGCTATTTCTCCCATCAGCCAAGATGAGAATTCTTGGAAATAGATCTTCTTCAAATCATCAGTAAAACTTTGTATAAGGACTTTTTTTCATTTTTTCTGTCCAAATCTGTTCTGATATCAATATTTGATAGTCTTACGTATAATTTTACCCAATGCTGTTATAATTTAGTAGTTAGGAATCCTTGGTGTGAATCTCTGCTGTGCCATTTCCTAGCAGTATGACTTTGGATAAGTATCTTAACCTTGGTAAGTTACAGGCGCCTCTTTATAAAATGAAGATGATAAGAATAATTTCTTCACATAATTATGATCAGGCAGTCTTTGAAGTGTAGGGCTAGCCCTTACCCTGTGTAAGTGTTCACACATTCCCCTGTTACCGTCCATCGTGTCTGATCTTTCTCTTCCTACTCCTGCTAGTTCAAAATGACTCTACAGAACTGCTATGCCCTCCTAAGTCATTTTCAGAAGAACTTGTAGAACTTATATTAGAAGGGTCCTAAGAGGTTAATCATTAAAACCTTCACCTCCACAAAAACCAAAGCTACCATTTATTAAATTGCTACCTTACCTGACCTCTAGTTTGTGAAGCAAATGGTGGTGTACTTGTTTTGTAGAAGAGAACTCAGGGCCCTCTACTGCAAACACTCGTTCCTAAGATTGCAACTCATGTTGTCAGGACTGGTATTTGAGCTTTGCACCGTGCAATTCCAAATAATTTACTTATGTCACCATACCATATTGCTTTCCCTCTATTGAAGCGAAGTGAAATCAGATCAATTCTGTGGCAGGTGTTTTCCAGCCTGCAGTTCACCAAATATTTCTAGTGATGTGGAACCCGTTACTTTTACGTGGTGTTTCATTGTTGAATAGTTCCAAAGCTTGAATACTTAAACATATTGTATTAAAAACCTGGCTTGTCTATAGTTACTTTTACACAAGAAATACCGAGAGCGAGTCTAATCATTACCTATGTGAAGCAAGGACGTATTGATACCCAAATGGGGTTTCCACCCCCCCATAGTTATTTAACCTCAGATGTTGTGATGTAACCATGGATTCTCAGCCCCCCCCCCCACACACACACCGGTTCTCCTGTCACCAACATGCATGACTTGTTTTTCCAACCTGTTTTTCTTTATTTTGGAAATGAACATTATAACAACAACAACATTATCTCATGCAGATTGAAAGCTTTCTGCCCAAATTACCGGTTTTGAATTCAGAGCTAGCAGCCATCAGCCTTCTACTTGACCCAAGTGCATGAAGGGTTTTCCTGTGTATCCTCATTACAAACATACCTTCTGTCCCCAGTGTGAACATCGCTTCTGTGTCGGCATCTACTTCCCAATTTGGCAATCAAAACAGGCTGAACTGGCTCTTCTTGCTCAAAACTTCCTCAAAATAGGAAACAGCCAATAAAAGGTGATTTTTTTTTAATTTTTTTTTTTTTTTAGTATAATGATCTGAACATCCCAAAGACTCAATTTAAAGTTACAAACTAGGAAAATTGCTAAATAGCGGAAGCTACTATTATTGTAAGTCAGGCTTACTTATAGCTACTTTATCTAGTTGGCTCAGTACCATAAGTGGGCTAGAGAGAAATTCAGAAACATAAGCACTTTTCTATATTGCCAGGTAAACTAAGTCACAAGCCTTCTCATTGAGATTCAAGCTAGTAGCCAGGTGCAATTTGGTCAGTTGATTTTGGCTAGGTGGGGAGGTTGTTAAGCACCATCAAGTCAGCTACAACTGGCAGTAACCCTGTGAACAACAGACCTTAATCGCTCACTGCCCTTTGCCACCCTTATAATCTCCTAAGTGAGGCACCTCAGAAGAAATCTCTTGCCAGTCTACAGCCAAAGAATAAGCCATTGAAAACCTGAATGGAGCATGGCTCTACTCTGGTGCACATGGAGTTGCTATAAGTTGGAATTAGTCCACCGGCAGCTTGTAGTGGTGGAAACAAAGACATTACCTCACCAAACAAGACAAACAAGTACACACAAAAAACCCTAAATAATTCCTTTTTGTTATCTAATAAACATATCATTAAGTAATTCAGTTATTAAGAGTCATAAAAAGTGCAATGGGCTCATGTATCAGAGATGAGGCTTTCACAGGATAGGACTGGGTTTCAGATCTGTTGTTTATAGGGCCTCTATGACTCAGCTTGACTCATTGACACCTAACAACAACAATTATTAAAAGCGAGCTCTGGACCCCTTTTATGAAGACAGCACCAAAACCCAAGACGGAAGCCTTTACCCCTCCCAAAACTGAAGCCAAAGCAAAAGCGTTAAAAGGCCAAGAAGGCAGTCCTGAAGGCCATCCAAAGCCGTACAACAATATATGCATGTCTTATCACCTACCTTTTGGCAATCAAAGACACTGAAACTCTGAAGGCAACCGAGGTACCCCCCAGAAGAGCACCCCAAGGAAGACAAGCTTGACCACTGTGCCATCATCATGACCACAGAGTCGACCATGAAGAAGACAGAAGATAACAACATACTTGGGTTCACTGTGGATGTCAGGGCCAACAAGCAACAGATCAAACAAGATGTGAAGAAGCACTTTAACATTGATGTAGACAGGGTCACCTTGATGAGGCAAGGTCCTTGGAGAAAAGAAGAACTGTGTTCCACTTCCTCCTGATAGTGATACTTTGGATGTGGCCAACAAAATTGGGGCCACCATACTGAGTCCAGCTGGCTAATTCTAGATGTAAACTTGGCATAATCTGTAGAGAGCTAGGCTGATAATTCAAAATTGGCCTCTCTCTGGGGACTAAAATCCATCAGCAGCTCCATGGAAGAAAGATGGGCTGTCTCCTCCCGTGTGATTTACAGATTTAAGAAACCCACTGGAGGATCAACTATGAATTGGTTCTATGAGTTGGATCAGTGAGAGAGATCAAAGAGAGGCTATTAACATGTTGCCACAAATGATGGCAAATGTGTTTCTAAGCACGGTTGTCAATTTAAAGAGTATGCGGCAGCATGTTAAAAGTAATACCTTTGAAATTACATGGGGATTAGATCTCACCCTAGTTGTGAACTAGTGTAGGAAATGGATAGACTAATATGAAGAAGATAATAAACATTCTCTGCAGAGAGGATGCTTGTGCGTGACTCAGACTGGTTTTTGAAGGGAGGCTATATTTTATGTGTATCTCTATCCCATGTATATAGCAACAGCACACTAAAATTGGGCCTCCTGTCCATAAAGCATATGGGTTAAAACATATATCCAGAGGGACTGCCATGATTTTACATCTTCTGGCCCACATGCTGTCAGCTCCCTTTTTAGACCAGTAGTCCTCAACTGGAGTAATTAAGCATGTTGTCAGTAGAGGCCAGTCATTGGGAAAAAGACAGCATGCTGGGAAGGATGAGGGTCAGAGAAGGAGAGGGAAACTTTGAATAGGAAGCATTGACACAAGGAGTGTAACGATGGGCTTCAGCATATCAGATATCGAGAGGATGGCACAAGATAGGGCAAGGTTCAGATCTGGTGCTCATAGGGTCTCTGAGTCATGGTCAACTCAATGGCATCAAACAACAACAGCAACAAAAAGGGACCTTTGCTAGTGCTGGAGACATTTGTATTGTCTTGCTCTTGCTATCAAGTGGGAAAAGGCCAGGGATGCCGCTAACCATGAGCAGTGCTCAGAACAAAGCCTTAACGAGCTCCAAATGTCAGGAAGACCATTTTTAAGAGGAGAACTTCTCTTTCAGTCTGTTGTTATATCACATTTGCACCCAATTGACATGAAGATTTTTTTTTTATTTTCTTTCCTCTTTAGAAAGAGGTTACTGTTCCAGCAGGCATTTCCCTGTCATCTTATGCATCACCTAAGTCAGATTTGGGCAGATCTTTGAACCTGTCAAACTTCACTTCTGTTTATTTTCGTTGTATCTTTGGACTCAATCAAAAAACAAAAAATGATTTGATTTCTCCAAATAGATTTAAGGTGAACTACATTTTCTCATGATGTGTTCACTAGTTGGAGCAAAGTTTTCTCTCTTGGGCACAATATAACAAGCAATTGAGGGGCTTGTTAAATCAAGGTGTAATTTCTCTTCTAGCATCCTAATTTTGAAATGATCGGTCATTTTTAGTAATTAAATGAGAAACATGTAGTAAGGGTTCCACCTTCTTTATTTGTAGGAAATGCAGTTGGAGCATGCAAAGCAAGCATTTGTGCAGCGGGACAGCGCCAGGACCGGAAGAATCACAGCCCTTGACTTCCGGGACATCATGGTCACCATTCGCCCCCATGTCTTGACACCTTTTGTAGAAGAATGTCTAGTAGCTGTAAGTTATGCACGGTTTGCTCTAATAAAGCAGTTTATTCTGCCTCGTTTAAGCTCACTAAATAAATGATTGTGAAAATAAGTCTTACAAATTATACATAGATTTTCAGTTTAAACATTAACATTTTCTTAATGAGACATAATATATTACCATGCTTACAGCTGTGTGTTTTGGCAAGTTTTAGTGAGTAATGGAATGCTGGGTTGTTATTTTTTTGTTGGTGGTGGTGTTTTAAATCTGTCCTTCACCACTTAAAGAAAGGTATTAACTGGTTAAAGGGAAAAGAAAATAATTTTTGCAGTTCTGTGTTAAGGCTGTTTTATATTTTGATGTATGTAAAATGCTGCTCTCTACTTCAATTTATTTTCCAATGAAAACTTTAAAAAAAACTCTTCATCCTAATATTGCTTGCTGGAGTAGGGAAATATTAACACCAAACCTTGTATTCACGCATTCATTGTGTGTATGTGTTGATGCTGCAGCAGCAGCAAATACAATAGCCCCACTGATGTCAATCACGGAATGTCTGTCTTAGTGCATGCCCTTAACCTCATGGATCTCAGAGATGTCTTAAAACATCATCTGGTAATTCCTAGGCTTTGGTTGGAGTATCAGAATCACCAAATATTAACCAGAAAAATATAGACCCCAAAGTTTCTTTGAAGCATGATCATTTTAGCCTCTATAAATGAAGTCTTGGAGCCTATGGTTTCCAAAACTTTCTAGATAATTCTGACCCTTGCCCATTAGGGACCATTGCCCAGTGCTAACCCCTCTTTGATCAATCCCAAGCAGAATACTTAATGTGTTCTCACCATCATCTGGATTTCCCCAGGGCTTACCACAGTAGGCACTTGCTTTTACTCATCTTCTTCGTGCCCACCCCCCTTGGTTCTTTTAAAAAGACGTGGCATCCTGACGTGACCTTTTCCTCTTTGGCACTGTGTTAATCTGGCTCTTTCTCTTGGTCCCATTCCCTACTCCATTTTAAACTCTCATGTCAGCTATTTTAAATGATTACTAAGTGGAGATTTATGTGGTTGTTACCTTATAAAGAAGTGCTTTCCTAATGAAAATATTTTGCCTTGTTAGAAAAGCCTAGAATTTGAAACCCAAACTGAAGTCTCATTCATAATGGACATGCTCTCTGTTTTTCCTGTCCCTTGTAAAGATATATGGTTTCTTACAAATTCTGATTATCAGAATTCTGAGTGGGTTTAACCCCTATCAAAGCACATGACATCTCATAATTTTACCATAATACACTTGTTTGCTAGAAATCCCACCAATATAAAGTCTGTGCTTAAATGATTATTTATTGCTTCTTATACGTACCATGACAAGTCTTGATATTAATGTTAGATTGACCACTTTTCACAGTATGTTTGCATTTCTATAATAGTTTTGCATCTGTGAGTATATATAATACAGCTTTGCATGCCTAAGCCTTTAAGATTTGCTCATTAGATGGAATAAACCAACTTATAAAACATTTCCAATTGAAATCTGAACTCTCTAAATTACTACTGGTCCTGTTGTTATAATCCTACACATGCACTTATTTAGTTTTCTAGAATTTGTCTGGAGAGTGCAAGTTCTGGTCATGATTAGTTGCAGTTACTTTTAAAAATCATTTATTGGGTTTTCCCCCTTCTTGATGTAAAAGAAAATAATCATGGCTATTCTTGCACATGCATTCTCAGATTACTTCTGAAGTAGCACTTGATATATATACTTCTGAATCTTCTGTATTCTATAAATGTTTGGTTTGTTTTTTCTTCTTCCCTCTCTTATTTGCAACATTTTTTTTTTTAGGCTGCTGGAGGTACTATATCCCATCAAGTTAGTTTCTCCTACTTTAATGGATTTAATTCGCTCCTTAACAACATGGAACTCATTAGAAAGATCTACAGTACTCTGGCTGGTAACAGGAAAGATGTCGAAGTGACAAAGGGTGAGTGAGAACATCGCTGAATTCTTGCCTGAAAGAATCTTGGGGTAGTATAATTAAGGTTAAGAAGGCAACCAAAAGATCTTACTATGGATTTTTCTATCCTTTGGACACATATGACTGGAAATGATATGTATAGTCTCCATCTCCAGGGCAGAAAAAACAAAAGCAAACACAAAAATAGCTTCATCAAGTTTTAAGTAAACTAAATACAGCTTTTGGACGAGAGAAAAATGTGAAATGGATTTGTATTTGTTTTAATGTGCTCAAATCTTGGAGGAATTTGAGCTCAATTGGCAGCGTCGAAAGTGGCCTTCAGCAGAAGAATCCCATAAACTTATATTAGTCATACTGTTCCTGGATCTGTAGTCTCGAAACAAGATCTGTCAACATTTTGATGGTTTGGTTTTTGTTGTGTGTTTTCTGTTCTTGTGTTTTGTTTTGTTTTTTAAGAGAGAATTTCCTTAGGAACTCCATAGCTTGCTTAAATATGCCCTGGGGCCTGGGCATATAGGGTTTCATATCAGCATCCTTGGTTTCCCTGACCTGCAACTTAAATCCCATCCCGTGTCATTTGTGCTGAGCCTTCAGATGGTATTGAGCTTTTGAACTGTTGGAGCACGTGCTGCACCCGCTTTCTAAAGAGAGGATGAGATGGAGATATTCTGAGCCTCCCTGGGTTGATTTGAGTTCTGTAAAGTTTTGTGATGTTCATTCATTCCAGTGCCTTGGATTCAAGTAGTTCCTTCTTGAATCTTTCTCCTTCAACTTTTCCCCTCCTTCCCTACAGAGGAGTTTGTTCTGGCAGCTCAGAAATTTGGTCAAGTTACACCCATGGAAGTTGACATCTTGTTTCAGTTATCAGATTTATATGAGCCACGGGGGTAAGTTGGCTTTTTTATTTTTTAAATCAGTTTAATAAAGGGAGATTAGGAATTGGGAATAAGAAGAGTATGGAATCTGAGGGTAAGAGTAAGAATCTGGGGGAAAGAGTCAAGGGTGCTCTGACATATCGGGCATACAAATGATCATCTTCAAATAATGCCATTTTGTAAATTGTGGTAAGTTGGATTTATGTTCTTGTTTGTATTTGTTTTTCCCTGCAGGCGAATGACCTTAGCAGATATTGAACGGATTGCCCCTCTGGAAGAGGGAACTCTGCCCTTGCACTTGGCTGAGGCGCAGCGGCAGGTGGGTGATGATTAGCAAGCCCCATCCCTAGTTGTTCTGCACTGGAGTCCCCCAGCCCATTTGCATTTGCCTTCTTGGCATTCGTATCAGACTCACCACTTTCTATTTTGCCTGTAAAATCTGGATCAATTTTAAAAAACTAAAAGGTAAAGGCCTTGGAGATATCCTGTTCAAGAGACAGTTTGTCATTTACTTGTTTCTTTCAAAGACTCACAGAGTTGGAAGCATTCACTCTGCCAGTATGGAGATCTTTACATCTCCAAATCTTCCTTGGAGAGTGTGGGAAGGAGCTCTGCTTGGTTGCTGATGTCACTGTCAGCCGTCAGGGGTGCTAAATGAAAGCCATCTTTGCTTGGGAGAAAGGTGCTTTGTCAGCATATTGTCTAACTTCAGTGCCTTCCGTTTTTCTGAATATCAAAATGAGATAATTTTGTTTAGTCTGGAGTCCTAGTTTGAAGGCTTTTAGACTTATTTTCTCTGTGAAAGGATTCATAAGCTATGTGGAAACAATTTTAGGAATGCTAAATTTTATTTTATGGTTAACAGAAAGCAATCTCTGGAAGTTGCAGGAGTCAGAAAGTCAAGACGTGGGACCTCCTCCTTTAACTCTTGCTCGGCCCTCTGTTGCTCAGGAGCAGAGCATAAAAGCCCTTCATTGCGTCTGTTGTACTCGCTCAGTGTTTGTAAAAGAAATCTGCTCGCAGCCGAGCGTCGTCTAAGAAAAATACCTCCTTTAAGGCAAAGCCATCCCCGAATCCTGTGAGACTTAACATTTCTTGGCTTGGAGCTCAGGGTCTATGCAGAGACGCCAGTTTGACCACAATGGGTTGATGCGGGCTACATTTTTAGGACTGACAGGCTTTGAGCCAGGACCCCCTCCTTTCAGCTCTCTCCCACCCGAATGCCGTGGTGAGTTGTGTGTTCCGCATGTGACTTAAAGTGGTGGGTGTGTGCTCAGTAAATCTGGAGGAGGCACCTTTGCAAAACCAGCTGGCCCCTGTTAAAAGGGGCAGCAGATTTGTCCCAGTGCAGAAGTGAGAACTTCAGGATCACATGCAGAGGCAGAAGCAGCATCTCTGCCCTGTCTTTGATTTCTAAACACTGCTTAAGAGATAATTACCTCATCTTCTCTCTGCTACCCACTCTTGTAGAAATTTGGGGATTAAGAAAAAGCAGAGGTTGGTTTTGGGGTTTGGTTTTAAGATTCTCTCCCGTTCTCCAGCAAGCAGTGGTATCCCACATTTTTTTCCTTTATGTCTTGTGTAGCTTTGGAGGCTTTGTGATGGGTGCTTGTTGATACTGGCCAGGGAAGCGTTAGACCAGATTGATGAGATTTACAGCAGGAAATGACTGGCTGCTGTTCAGAGGATGAAGCCTTCAACATGGCCTCGGCGGAATCTGTGTCACCGCTGGGACCCTCGTGGGGCCGACAGAATTCACACCAGAGCCAGTCAGGCCATTGACCGGATTCTGCCTGGAAAGCAGAGGGCTGCCTACCCCAGTGCTGTGTGGTGCTTTTAACATTCATCCTAGATGGGAGTGAAGGAGGAATCTTTCTTGCTTTGTTTCCAGCACATGCTAAATTCCAGTCAGAAGGAAAGTGAAATAAAATGTCTGAGGTTTATTTTGTCTCAGTTCCTCTTTCCACATAATTTTCAGAATATTTTAATGCCAGAGCTTTCTAAGTACAGGTATAATCCAAGGTATTTTGAGTTTAGTTCCAGACCATTCCAGAAAAGTTAATATCAGAAGAAAGCAAGTCACACAAATTTTTCAGTTCCCCAGTCATGTTTACACTACACTCTAATTTACTGAGTATGTGATGACATTTTTTGAAAAGTCTGAGTTATTATGTTGTTGTTGTTATGTGCCATCCAGGTGCTGCGACTCATAGTGACCCCATATACAACAGCTCTAAACCCTGCTCTATCCTGTGCCAATCTCACCGTCTCTTACAAACCTACTCCCATTACCCCAGTCACTGAATTAATCTATCACATCGAGGATCTTCTTCTCCTGTGCTGTCCCTCCACCCTCCCAAGCATGACATCTCTCTCTAAGGAATGGTCCCTCCTTGCTACATGTCCAAAGTATGTCAGATGAAGCTTCAGAATCCTTGCCTTCAAGGAGCAGCCCGGCTTCACCCTCTCCAGGACAAACATGCTCATTCTTTTAGCAGTCCATGGTATATTCAATACTCTTCTCCAACACCACAGTTCAAAGGCATCAATTTTCCTTCTATCATCCCTAGTCATTGTCCAACTCTCTGATGCATAGTGAGAGATTGCAAAGACCATGGCCTGTATCATGTGCACCTTAGTCTCCAGATTGACATCATTGCTCTTCAGTACTTTGGAGAGGTCTCTAACTGCAGGCTTTCCCATCGCAATATGTCTTTTAATTTCCTGTGTGCTGGTGCCAAGAGTGTTGATTTTGGAGCCAAGAAGATTAAAGCTATGAACAATTTCAGTCTCTTAACCATCTATCATGATGCTGCCAATCAGCCCAGTAGTGAGAATCTGTTTTCTTGATATTAAGCTTCAATCCACATTGAAGGCTACAGTCCTTGACCTTTTGCAGCAAGTGCTTCAGGTCCTCCTCAGTTTGAGCAAGCAGGGTTGTATCATCTGCACAACACAGATTGTTGATGAGTCTTCCTCCAATCCTTATGCCATATTTCTCCTCATAGAGCCCAGTCTCCTGGATAATTTGTTCTGCATATAGATTGAAAAGGTATGGAGATAGGACATATGCCTGGTGTATACCCTTCCCAGTTTTGAACCATATAGTGTTCCCATGCTCTGTTTTGACAGCTGCTGCCTTGTTTGAGTATAGGTTTTGCATTAGCATGATCAAATATTCTGGGATTCATATTCTTCTTACAGTTAGGCACAGTTTGTTGTGATCCACTTAGTCAAGCACCTTTGCATAATCAATGAAGCACAGATAGACATTCCTCTGGTACTCCCTGGTTTCAGCCAAGATCCATCTAACATTAGCTACAATATCCCTAGTTCCATGACCCCTTCTAAAGCTAGCCTGCACTTCTGGCAGTTCTCTGATGTGCTTCTCCAGCCATTTTTCGATAATCTTCAGCAGAATCTTGCTTGCATGTGATATTAATGATATTGTTTGATAATTTCCACACACTGTCTGGTCACCTTTCTTTGGAATGGGAACAAATAGAGATCACTTCCAGTTAGTTGGCCAAGTGGTTGTTCTCCAGATTTCTTGGCACACCTTGGTGAGTACATGAAGGGTAGCATCCGTTAGTGAAATATATCATTTGGTATACCATCAATTCCTGGGGCTTTATTTTTTGCCAGTTCTTTCAAAGCAGCTTAGACCTCCACCATCAGCACAGTCTCTTGCTCATATATTGTTTCATGAAATTGTTTTGTGTCTGTCAATTCCTTTTGGTACAGTGACTCTATATTCTTTCCATCTTCTTTTAATGCTTCCTGAATCATTTAATATTCTGCTCAAAGCATCTTTAAGTATTGCAACTCGAGGCTTCAATTTGTTCTTCAGTTCCTTGAGCTTAAGAAATGCTGAGTGGGTTTGGCCCCTTTGATTTTCTGACTCCAGGTCTTTGCTCATTTCACTATAATACTTGGTCTTCTGCGCTGTCCTTTGAAATCTTCTTTTCAGCTCCTTAATATCTTTATTTCTTCCCTCTACTTTTTTCTCAGTGTTCTAGTGTGATTTTCAGAGTCTCTTCTGACATCCATTTTAGTCTTTACTTCCTCCTCTGTCTTTGTAATGACCTTTTTCACTCTTCCTGGATGATATTCTTAATATCCTGCCACAACTCATCTGGTCATCGCTCATTAGTGTTCAAGGCCTCAAACCTGTTCCTGAGATAGTTTTGAAATTCAGGTGGGATAGACTCAAGATCATATTTTGGTTCCCATGGATTTGATTTCATTTTCCCTAGCTTCAGTTTGAACTTGTATATGAGTAGTTGGTGGTGAGGCTTAACAAAATGTGACAGAGAGTAACCAGAGTTGTTGGAAAAATGCCACCAATAGAGTTTCTCCACACAGGGTTCTCACCTTTAATTTGTAAGAAATGTAGTATCTGTAAAGTATAATAAAGTGAAGCACAATAAAATGAGGCTTACCTGTATTGCATATTTATATCCATTCTGTGTAAATAGAATTGTGCTTTTCTTATGGCTATGTCTGTCAAAATGAAGTTACTGTTGATTTCCATCTGTACAAGAATAGAATTGGAGTCACCCTTGGAATTTGCAGAAAAAATGTTTTACATTCTCAGAGATGCATATTTTTATGTAAAGCTATTTTCAGTTAAACGATTTTTAAGGAGATTCCAAATGATCTCATTGTATTGGAGTTGAGTTACTTTGACAGCAGCTAACAGTCAGTGGGTTGATATACCTGGAGTTGGTAATTATTTTCATTGTTCACCGATTTTAATTATCATGGCTTTTGAAAAACAAACTTTATTGAATGCATTTATTCATTCAGTGGTTATTTATTAAACACCAACTATATGCCACCCTCGTTTGACAAGTCTGTCTGGCATAAATTACTGTTTTATTTATGTGGGCAGACAAGTACAATACTCTAGAATGGTCTAGCATCAAAAACATTGTAAGAATAACAGGTCAATGTTTCAGCCAACTGTCTATGGCCATACTGCCCTGTACATGCCTGGTCTCATCTAGTCTCGGAAACTAAGCAGAGTCGGGCCTACTTAGTACTTGGATCAGAAAACATCAGCCAAGTGACCTGATAGATGAACTAAAGATAAGATGGACCAAAGAGGGAGGCCACCCACACCCACCTAGTTGTAGCTACTGTGAACATTTTGAATGGCTTCTAGGAGTGACTGATTCAAATGCCAGTATGATTTTTACATACATAGGCCAATGCGCAGACAAATTTAATATAAAATATAGAGTGGCATTATATAATAGTTTTTAGAGCTAATTTTTAAAAATCTGTTGTGAAATATTTCAGACATACGTTAAAAAGAATAGTTTCTCAAATGTTCCTCCATTCACCATTTATTTTTAGACTGTGTTTTCATTTATAATTTTATAAACATTTTTCTTGACATCATTTATCTTACATTTTATTTTGTACATAAGGTTATAATTTTTATACTATACTATTTTAATAATGATACCATTATTTCTTCATTGGCCTCTAGTCTTTTATTAGAGAGAGATGGACAAGTCAGCTACTATGATTCCATACCAGTGCAACTGCAAAGAGATTCTAGTCACTTTAAGTTCCTTTCCCAAGCATTTTCCTCTTAAAGCAGTCTTGTTACTCAATAGTCTTGGTTCGCTGGTGTCATAGTGTGTTGTGCTGTTAACTCCAGGGTCCTTCTTCTGGCAGTTCAGATCTACCAGTGGCTCCTCAGGAGAAAGATGGGCAGTAAGTCTCCTCACATGCGGTTTGTAGACTTTGAAAGTTAAAGGAGCATTAGTCAAGTATTGGTGCTGACTCAGTGGCAGTGAGCAAATTATAATATTCTTACAGGTTCATCCTTTTTGAATACATGACTGTTTTATCACCTAACTTTTTTAAAGCAGAATGACAGGGTGAAAGCCATGCAGTTTACATTTGATTTAGTGTTAGGTTTGAGAATGTATGTTCACACTAGCTTTTGCTAGACCAGACACTACTGTTCAATAGTAACAAGAACAAACCTGTAAAACCAAAACTTGTCCCTTTGGTAAAAAATTATCTCACTGATGTTTTCAAATTTGCATCTATTTGATTGCTAATGAGACTTGAGCATTTGAAAATTGCCTCATAATGGTTTTAACTAAGGCCTTTCATTGTGTTGTAATTAAATTTTAAACATTAACACTAATAATAATAATCCTTTTTAATTGAGAACTTACAAAATCTTACCCCATTTTCCCCCCAGAAAATTTCATTGTTTCAAGACTGTGGAACTCAGTGACTGATTTAAAAACACGTGCTCACTTTCTCCTGTCTTCTTTCTCTGTCCCCTCTCTCTGTGTCCCCACGACTTCCACCTGTGCAAAGCAGAAGGTCTCAGGAGGGACATCTCGACCAGTTCTTCTGCAAGTGGCGGAGTCAGCTTACAGGTTCGGCCTGGGTTCTGTTGCTGGAGGTTAGTCATGGCTGAGTGCCAATTTTCATCTGTGTTGTTCCGTTTATCTTTTCTGTGATTTTTCTCCCTTGAAGTGTTAGAGGGCCAAGCCTTCTCTAGTTTTTGTTCAGTCCATTTACCACCTAATTTGTTCCTAAGAGGTAAAATGACAAGAAGGGGCACTCTTTCCCGTATCTGCATGTGATCGGGGACTTATACGTGCTATTTCCCCTTCATATCTCTGCAGACTAACTTTCCAAAAGACATGTGAATAAAGAGATTAGGTTATAGTGCTGTGATTTTCATTTAAATCATCTATAACGTCCTTTTTCCAAGGGAAAATTGGAATTAAAATCTACCGTTGTTGTTAGGACTACAGGAAGATAGTGCCATTTTAAAACCAGTACATGAGGAATTTATTTTCTCAGTCTTCTCTTTGGCTTTGACTTCACTACTTCCTCCTTCCTCTGACTGACCCTAATTCTTTCTAAAATATTGGCATTATTTTCTTTTAGCGGTTGGAGCCACTGCCGTATATCCTATTGATCTTGTGAAAACGCGAATGCAAAACCAGCGATCGACTGGCTCTTTTGTGGGAGAACTGATGTACAAAAACAGCTTTGACTGTTTTAAGAAAGTGCTACGCTATGAAGGCTTCTTTGGATTATACAGAGGTTAGTGCCGTGTGTTACATTCCTGGAAGGTGGTTGGTTTCCCATCTGAATGCCTGAAATGCATTAGAGGGACTATGTTAGAATGGAAATACAGCAGATTCTCAATTATCCATGCTAACAAGGGCAGGCTGGAGGCATCTAGGGCATGGCTAAATCAAAACAGCCTGGAACCTGAAAGCCATTTACATTGGTCTATGTGGTATGTTTTAATTATTTAAATAATAAAATTACTTCCCCACCCCCTTTTTTATAAATATCTTCCATGAGTTTTCAAAATATTCACTTTGTTTGTGTTCCTTAATACTCAAACCAAAACCACTCTAGAGTCGTTGCCATCCAGGCAGGTTCTGATTCCTGCCAACCCCGCATGTTTAAAGGAGACCACCAGACCTTTCTTCTGTGGGGACTCTAGCTGAGTTTAATTAGCCCCCTGTGGGCTAGTCATTGCGCACAAACCATTTGCTTCACTAGTTACTTCCAGTATTGTGCTCTTTGGTACAGGCAGCCTAGGGATGGGACAAAAAGGACCCTGGATCAATATACACCTTGAGTGTAATGACCACTGAAGTAGTCAAGCAGGTCGCCGGGGCCTCCGTGGGGCCCTGCTTTACTGTCTCTCTCCGAATTAAAGTTTGCTCTGAACCCAGTGGCGTTGATTCACACATGCATCTGCCAGGTTCTCCTTGTGAATACATCTGCTCCTTAAATCATCTAAGGTTTGTTAAGCAACAGCCACAGTAGCAAAGGGCACGCCATCCCTTTGGAAAGGATCCACAGACCCTGACTGCTTTTCCACTGACATCGACCTAGGGACGTATTACTTTATTCACATGACAGCTGCATTTTTTTACATCGATACCACAGCACAAGGGGGGTTAGCCCCTCGCCCAACCTCCCTGTCTGTGGTTACCGTCCACAAAGAGAGAAGAAGTTAAGTGCCTTTGCGTCAGTTAAGATCCAGTGTCAGGAGGCTGCTCCAGCTGAGTCGCTCTGCCACTTGGCAACTGCGGGTCTGGCAGGGTCTTCCGTCCACTCTCCTTCTAGTGCTTGCTCCAAGGGAAGAAAATCGTGCTAATACTCTGCTGAGACAGAATGAAGCTGGCAGCCATGCACACTCGTGCCTCCAGGCCTCTTCTGCCATCTGCTGACTCGAGGCTTTCATCTTAAGCATCCAGGTTTAAAAAAAAAAAATCAAAAGGGGTAAAAAACAATCCCCAACTCTCTCTCTTGAAACCTCTCACCCTAGAAGCTTGAAGATTTCAGACTCCAGAGAAGTTCCAATTTTGCAGGTTCTATTGTGTAGGGAGATAACCTCCATCAAAGGCCTTTTGATCTTTTCTCTGCTCTCTTTCCTTTACTCACTGCCTCTTCTTACAATTCTGAAGGTCTTTGACCCCAGGTGATTGATGATGACCCTTTGAGGGTCAGTGCCTGCCTTTTGCAATATTCTCTACCTCCTCCCCTCTCCCTCCTTGCGAATGCAATCTCTCCTAAATAGTACAAGGTTAATGTCACAGGTCCTGCATTACAGCGGCTCAGGCAAAGGTGGCCACTTTACCTGTCCTTTTAGATTGTTTTCCAGTGGGAGAGCTTATGCCTCAAATCTGGAGAGAAGTCTGAGCCTTGGTAGTGCTGGATATACACTTACTTTTCGCGCTTTTCTTGGTGTTAGATGAAATGTTAGTCTTGTCATATCTTTGCAAATGATTGTGGGAAATCATTGTCTCTTGCTAAAGTGTCTTTCGGTTTGTTTTTAATTATGTACCTTTTCTCTTTCCTCTTTGGACATCCTTCGAGGATCTGATGTCAGTTGCACCAAGCTTTCCCTTCTACCTTCTTGTCCTTTTGACCCTACAGAGGGGACAGCTTAAAGCACACTGGTCTCTAATCTAACTTTAGTGCTGACCTAATGTGGGCCAGCCGGTATTAACAGCCTTTGCTGTTTTGGTGATTACACCTGTAAGACTTGCGGGACTGGTTCTGAGTCCTCAGGGAAGGAGAATCCCACAGCATATTTGACAGAAACTAGGGACCATGCATTTACCTGCTTTAGAAATAGTCGTTTATCTGGCCTCCTCTGGTGCCTGAGCCCTGAGGGCAAGGGCCCCAGCTGTCTGTTAGAGGATAGTAAGTAGAGTGTGAGTATAAATAGATTAGTTCTGGGAGCTGCCTGTGCTTACTTATTTCTCCTTTGTGATCAGTTCCAAAACTCATCTTTATTGAGCCACCCAACTTTGTTGTTTTTTTTTTTTTATGCTAACATGGCATTTTCCTTGGATGAATGCCTTAGATAAAGGCTCTGAAGAACAAGCTCAGTGATCCCCAGTCCTCCTTGGGGAGTGTGAGCTTTTGTTCATTTCTTCTTCCTTTCAAGAACAGAGTTATCCAAGACTCCAAAACCAGCTTCCTGGGTCAAAGTTAATTAAACACTATTCCCATCCCAAGAGAGGCATGATGTGGTCCATGAGGACAGGTCCAGAACCTGGTGAGGCAAACCGTGTTGGAGATCCTCATGCAGATGAGATCCTGTCCAGATGTCTCTTGCACTGGCGGTAGAATTTCTGGATTCCACTGAAATCCTTTTTCTTTTTAATTTGTCCCATTAAAACCTATGTAACATAAAACTCACCATTATAATAACTTTTAGGTTTACAGCTCAGTGTTCAGTGGACAATTTTAAAATGAAAAGGTTTAAGATAAAGTCAGTGGACAATTTTAAAATATAATGTCTAAGATTAAGGTGAAAGTTACTTAGTTCCATTTTGTAGCATGGATCTTGAAAGCAAGTAGGTTATTGGCTGTTCAAGTTTAAAAGAAAAGATTTACAATATTGTTATAAAAAGAATTTCTTTTTCTCGATTGGTCAGGGGCCCAGTTCTATCTTAAGAAGTCTTAGAATACCCTTCACGTATATGGTCACTAATGAATGTATGAGGGCTTAGTAGGAAAGAATTAATGCCCCCGATGCTCAGCTGTGTGATTTGATCCAGCAGCTGCTCTGTAGGAAAAAGATGGGGTATCATTCTCCTCCTGTGCAGTTAACTGCCTCTTAAAACCACGCGTCCCATGGTACACAACCACAACAGCATATCCGTGTAAGGCTTTTTGGTAGTGCTTTGGTTAAAACATTAGACTTTTAAGCAAAAGGTAAATTGTTTGGACTCACCGGCTGCTTTACACAGAGTGCTTCATAAATACTTAGAGCTTTAGAAACCCTAAGGAGAATTTCTACTCTCTCCTTCACAGTTGTTAAGAGTTAGGATAGATTGATCATAGTGAGTTTGGGGTGTTTTTTTAATATCTGTAATTGCTTATTATTAGGCAAGAGAGCAATCAGATTAAGATGTAAATAATTTATAGGAAATTATTACTGCATTATATTAGGGGGGAAAGCTGTATTAGAATTAGTGTTTTAACCTTTGTGTGCAAAACCAGAATGAACCACTTTGAATCCCTTTCATAAACTTAAGATATAAAATATCTTTGTGTGATTCTTTGATTATAGATTTCTCATTCAATGTAGTCGTATTGTTTAAAAATTATATTGTAGAAGTGAGGTGTTAAGTTTTAAATGGAGATCACTGCTATATTAATATTTCGGTTAGGACCATCTAAGAAGGTGTCTGTGTACATCTCTAATTAATAAACATATTTAAAAATATACTGAACATAACTTTCCCTGTTACATAATTTTGCTTACTGTACCATTTATACATCAGAAGCTTCAGAATCCTTGCCTTCATGGAGCAGCCTGGTTTAACCCTCTCTAGGTTAAACCTGTTTATTTTCTTAGCAGTCCATGGTATATTTAATACTCTTCTCCAACACCACAAAAATCATCAATTCTACTTCTATCATCCCTAGTCATTGTCCAGCTCTCTGACACATAGTGATTACAAAGACCATGGTCTGTATCAGGTGCACCTTAGTCTCTAGAGTGACACTATTGCTCTTTAGTACTTTGGAGAGGTCCCTAGCAGCAGACTTTCCCATCGCAATGCGTCTTTTAGTATCCTGGCTGCTGGTGCCAGAATATTGATTGTGGGGCCAAGCAAACTAGCTGTTAACAGTCTCAGTCTCATCACCATCTATCATGATGCTGCCAATTAGCCCAGTGGTGAGAATCTTTGTTTTCTTGATATTGAGCCTCAACCCTTGGAGAGGAATGTCATGTTTGGGAGGGTGGAGGGACTGCACACGAGAGGAAGATCCTCTCTGAAGCTGGTTGATGCAGTGACTGGGGTAATGGGAATAGGTGTGTTGTGGACAGTGAGATTGGCACAAGACAGAGCAGGATTTAAGACTGTTGTACATAGGGTTGTTATAAGTCATAGGCAACTCAACGGCACCTAACAATAACAACCACCGTTTATATGTGTTGTTGTTGATTGCCTTCAGGTCAAGCACAACTCACAGTAACCCTATGAACAAAAGGCCAGAAGCCTCTCTACAACTACTGACATTTATCAGCATTCATAGATTTTCTGGAGGCGTGTTATTTAGGAAGTGGATGCCATTCCTGCTTCCAAACCATAGATAGATTAGATAGATAGATACATAGATAGATACATAGATAGATAAAAAATGTTAGTGGTCCTTGAGTAGGATAATTTGAGAATTTTGCACAAGTAAAATCTCTCTGTATTTAAAATTAGTTTTATGTCTGTTTTGAAAAAAAAAAACTGGTACTTGATCCTAAAAGAAGGTATTTACAACATATCCTTAATCGGTTTTAAAAGTACCTTTCCTTATTTTATTTTAATAAATAGAATACAGTTTCTAAAAAAGAATTAGTTTTGTATTTGGCATCAATTTTCTGTGAAACCAGAGTTAAGATTACTTTTTAAGAACCCCCAGTGCTCCAAATCAGGTGGTTTCACCGTTTCTGTTCGCTCAAAGTTACCATTCTATCAGAATCGGTTGGCAATGTCTGTGCCTAACTAGCCCACTGGAATAAATTACTGAACAGTATCATTAAGAACATGCAAGTGAAATTTTGC